GTGTGTGTGTGTGTGTGTGTGTGTGTGTGTGTGTGTGTGTGTGTGTGATTCGCTATGAATCTCTTATAAATGTGATTTACGTTTTATGTATAGTTTTAGTAGTCAAGGTAAAAGTTGTTCAATAAAACCAGTGAACAATATTGTTGTCATGAATTATAAAAATATGGCAACGATGAAATTTCCACTTATGTCGCATGGTTAGTTTTTTTTTCTGTCGTCCTCTTCCATTTCCCATTCTCTTTTCCAACTGAAGGGTTAACAAAGTCAATAGCTAGGTCATGAAATTTATAAATGGCATATGCAATGGTTTTGATTAAACTCATTCTCAAAGGCGGTGTGTGACAACCCGAAGAATGAACATCGAAAAATGGGTAGAATCGATTTAACATGAGAATGAGTTAGCGTTATCGCATGACTACAACAAACACTGTCACATCTACCACATAGAGAATAACGGAATGAAAAGCAGAGATAAAAAGAGGATGAAAAAAAAAATCGTTGGCACCTCCGAGAGATTTTGTCGTGCGAGAGATGGTGAGTGAGAGTGGATGAGTAAAAAATAGTGGTTAAAAACTTTCTCAACATAATTGTATTTTGGACATGATCTATTTGATGAGCCCGCACGTCGTACCGTGCGCGCAAACACACACATACACATATACTTATGCTTCGGTGCAATACGGTCAATGTGCTTAAATGCGCATCATATAAGCCCCTTTTCCATTTATATACGATAAACGAGCTTTCATTGATAGCCAAAGTTGGTGCGGAATATTCAACAAACAACGGGAACGAATAGCAGTAACAACACATACGAACAAAAAAGACGAATTGCGTAAAAGTCATTTTAATTAATAAAATTAAATTAAAAATTTATATGTAGTTTTTGGACTTTTGAGTTAACCAGTCGAAAATGAACCAGGCGACAACATTGGACAAAACTTCTTCACATCGGCGCAACCAATTACAATGCATGCGAATATTACGAAAAAATGAGTTGAAAACTATTACACACAAGCGATTCGCTCTCGCTGAAATGAATTAATAATTGAATCACTGCGGAAGTGGGACAAAACACCAAGTGGTTCAAGAGAATGGTGAACGAACCGATATGAAACATTTTCCTTGAAACCAAATGACATGTGATTGAAATTGAAGGCTACATGATATGCGCTAGACATGTGTGCTTTTTTGCTCTCGCATCCGATCTAATGTGCGCCTCGAATTTAGCGCTGCTTCTCAACACGTAATGGCCGCGCCTCAAGTGATGTGAGAACATACGCAAGAGATGCAACCAGAAAAATCGTTTAATTTGTTGAACTATTTGGCACACGATTTTTCTTCAGAGCGCTGATCTTTTTTCGTTGGTTTATTGTCTGCCCGTTTGCAGAGAGAAATTTTTTTTTGTTTTCCCAATTTTGTTGTTGTTGTTTTTCGCTCTTACACATTATTTAAAATATATTGTATAATAAACACCATTTTCCAAATTAAATTTTCACATTTTAATTTAATTAGCTCTATTATGCTCGGCACACAATGGGAACGCAGTGCATGTTTGTGACCGAGTCTAGGTCTTTCGCTTTCAGAGTTGGATTGGTCGGGATTTTCATAATTGTATATGTGTTTAAGGTTTAGTGTGAGAATCCGTATGCATGTATGTATGTGTGCATGACATAATATTTCATTGTAAAACGTTTTGTGCGTTGTTTTTCTTCTCGTTGTTCTGCTTGGGTTACTTTTCGTCGCCGCCGTCATCACCACTTTTTTGGCACTTAAACAATATAACATATCCGTTTTGGCGTGTGCTAAACTAACATAAACGCACGACGGCATACAACTTTCAGTATTTCACTATATATCCTTTCCATTAGGACAATTCTCTTTTTTTGCATTGCGCTGCTCAATCTCTCTCTCTCTCTCTCTCTCTCCCGCTCTGCTGCTACGGATTTGTCCGGCACCAAGAGGGGGAGAACAGAAGAGAGTGCGACACATTGAACATGAGAGAGCATGGCAGGAAAAGTAAGAAGACAGAGTGATGCATGAGACAGAATGGTGTGTATGGGTGTATGGGTGTTTGTGCACGCTTTTTTGTGGATTGCTGCACAGAAATATTAAATCTCTAGTTTTACTAGGTAGATTATGTATGTAGTCAACACTTAAACACTGAATCTTACCACGGTAAACCATGTCTGTAATAATCTCTTGTTTAAGCGGATATTGCACACTAGTCCGAGAACGACTATTGGCCGCTTTTACTTATTGTTATTGGTCACTGCATCTTTTTCCGTACAGTTTAAATGTGTGAATGTGTCTGGATGTGGATTGGATATGAGCAACGCGTTTTACTATTTTTTTATGTGCGACTCTTTTTTTCTCTTCACTTCTGCCACTGCTACTACTGCTGTGTTCATTATTCCGGTTTATCACATCCGCTTTTGTACCACATGCACTCTCCATTTTCTATAAAAAAAAATACTAACTCTTTCCCTCTCTGAGCCACCCGTTATGGCCTCATGGCTCTTGTTCGTGCTCATGTTTTTGTTTTCGATATCATTTTGCGTGTGGATCGAGTTGGAGCCATTATGCGATGCGAACTCGCTAGCCCTGCTCTTTTTTTTTAAATCATGAACTTTAGTCACCACTTCGTTAATGGGTTGCCATAACTAAATAACAAAACTTTTCTATTTCAATTATAGGCAATTAAAACTCTTTTTGACAGAAAATTCACTATTTTATTCATGAATGTAGCCACTAAAAGCGTTCATAAGCTAATGGATGAAGAAGAAGAAGAAAAATGTCATTTGGATGCTCAACATTTTCGGGATTTTCTCATTAACCACCGAAAATTAAGGACATAACGCTCTCATAAATCAATCATGTTAATCTTTTCCAGTGACATGATGGCAGAAAAAGATGAATTTAAATTTTAATTATCGCAATTTCTGTCAATTACCCCAAAAAAATACAATCCCGTGCGCATTTTCACAATAACTGTAGAACAACACACACACACACAATGCACAATGAAATATTTCCGAGCCTTTTTCAGTGAGCGAATACGCGGCGCCAAATCAAATGCATTGTGTTCATTACAAATATGAATGAATCCACGGAGTGCATCATAAACTGTTAATTAAAACAGTTTTAATTTTGTTATTAAGTGTACAAAACACATGCGCCACACTCAAACTGTAACTCATGCAATTAAAAATGCAACTTGTTCCGAAAATGAATGAACGTTTTTTTCTTCTGTTGTTCGCCAATTTCAATTCTAGGCTAACGCGAACGCGCCTCACTTTGGATTCATTTAGAGTGCAACTTGCACTCTCGACAGTCTCAACAATGCTTTTTATCTATGTGAGTCGTTTTTGGATTCAGCCACGAATCACATTTTTCTTTTGCCCTTCTTGTCTTCTCAAATGAATGAAAGTCATGCAGGAAATTCAACCGGATCAAGCTACTTAAGCGTTCTCATTTTCGATTGTCTAATTTGGAATGGTTTCTGAAGGACAAAACCACGTGAAAGAGAATGAAAGGAATGCACAGATGCAATCCAAACTCCCATTATTGAATGTAAAGTGCCTTAAATAGGTTGCAAATTGGTTGCTTAAAACCATTAGAGCATTTAGAGCATTTTCATGGTCGGACAACGATATCAATGAAACCGAATAATAGAGAGAAATCTTCTTATCTGTGTCATGTAAATCGATAAATGGCATTGTTCAAAAATACCATTCAAGCGGCAGATTGAGTCGTTCGAATTTTTGAAATATTCGACTTTGGCACTAATAACCATTGCTATATGCAAGAACGCTTTATTACTAAACTTTACCGTTTTCCGGTATAGACTTGTCAAATCCGAATGAAAATCAATGAAAAATGATTTGCCGAGGTGTTTGTTCGAATTAAAAAAAAAACGAAAGCATTTCCTAGCAAACTATTTTCTTTTACTACTCAAAAGCGAATGGAAAATCGTCCAAGTTCTGTGGAAATAACCAAT